CTATGTCCACCATTTATACAGAGCACCCTCAATTCTAGTGTATGGAGAGTCCCTATTCCCTCAGCCCTTGCTCCCACAGTCTGGCCTCCCTATTACTAAAGAATTCAGCAAACCTCAGACATCAGAATTCAAGTTCTCCATACTCATTAAGCTTCAGCATCCCAGATGACTAACCATAACCTTAATTATGACATGAACAAATAGGATAGGAGCATCTGTCAAGGCAACAAGACTACTATGACAGTACTGTAAGAGCCATATTCCACCTCTCCTAACTACTATAGCCAGTAACTTGAGCAGAGAGTTGTGAATGATCTAAAATAATGACTTCTAAGCCACATGAAAACAAATACACATTCATACCCTCTACTGTTAATAAAGCTCAACCTCCTGTGTAGCCAAATCAAGGGTTAGTAAAAGCATAAGATCCAACTAAATGACAAGAGGATGAAAAATGCAGAAAAGTCACAAAGGATGATTCAACAACCATTTCTCAAAATTATGTAATTTCTTTTAGAGTTGACAAACATCAACAATTACGTGCTAACTTCCTAAGACCATAAGACATAAAGGAGTTAAATTATAAAAATATAACAGGCAGGGACTGAAGAGTTGGCTCAGTAGTTAAAAGCACTGACTGCTCTTACAGAGGACTCACATGCTGGCTAACAACTATCTGTAACTCCAATTCCAGGGGATCTGACACCCTCTTCTGGCCTCTGTGGACACTGCATGACACAGGTGTACTTACATACATGCAGGTACTACACTCATACAGATAAAAATAATAAATTAAAAAATTTGAAAAGTATATACCAGGTAAACTTTAAAACTTCTACTTCTATTTCTTTTTTTTTTTAATTATTATTTTATGTGTATGAATGTATTGCCTGCATGTATGTGAGTGCACCCGTGTCGCGCAGTGCTGTGGAGGTCAGAAGAGGGCTTCGGATTCCCCTGGAACTGGAGTTAAGGATGGTTTGTAGCTGCCACGTGGGTGCTGGGAATCAAACCTGGGTCCTCTGCAAGAGCAGTCAATGCTCTTAACCACTGAGCCGTCTCTCCAGCCCCGTAAACTTTAAAGCTTCTAATTTACAAGTCTGAATAAAGGGACTAAGTATTAAACTCTGACAATATATGAAAGTCCAACTAGCCAAGAATTTCAAAATATGAAATGAGCTATATGAAAGGGGTAAAAATGTATACACACATATAAATATAAGGAAAAAAGAAAAGACAAAAATGCAGTTTTGGGGCTTGGCTAAAAACAATACCCTGATATTCCTATACTTTCCATAATAGTTTAGAATTATATAAAAACACTAGTAAAATTATACTTTCGCAGCTTAAAATGGAAAATTTGTAACAATGCTCAGTGCCTAAAGTGCTAACATGGAAAATATTACAAAGAACTTTCCATTTGATATTTTAAGACTTCTTCAATTACCAAAATTAAGTTTAGACCTAGTTTTTATCTCCTGTCAATTTTAAATACCACCACAAGCATTCCACTTTTTTCAGAATGATTTCTTAAAATAGTATCTCACTGTAATCTTGCTTGGTGATACATGACTTTGTTTTAGGAAGAACTAGAAGGAAGATACAAGAGCAAAATGGGAAAGAATCCCTCAAAAGGCTCACAGAAGTATGAAAAGCACCCCTGATCTGTCTACTCATGAACACCAGCACCAATGGAGCTTCCCCCACAGTACAGAGCACTAGAATACTGATCCCCCAGCCCTGGTGGCTTACGTAGAGCTCTCTGGCCAGGTGCTTCCAGACTCCAACCATGTCATCCACCTTACTGCATTATTCAAAAATTATTTTCTGTATATGAAAGTTGAGAAACACTGACAGAATACATGAAAACAAAGTCAGGCGTGGTGGCACACAGCTGTAATCCCAGCACTCAGAAAACTGACCCAGGGAGATCTTGAGTTACAGGCCAGCCTGGGCTATACAGCAAGACCCTATCTCAAAAAATGAAAATACGGGAAAATACATAAAAGCAATTACAATACCAACCTTTTTATTTTATGGATTTATATTTTTATATGTAACAGTATTTTGCCTGCATGTATGTAAGTGCATCACATGCATGAAATGCCCTTGGAAGCCAGAAGAGGGCGTCAGATCCCCTGGAACTGGAGTTACAGACAGTTGTGAGCCACAATGTGGATGTTGGGAACTGAACCAAGTCCTTTACAAGAGCAGCCAGTGCTCTTAACTGCTGAGCCATTTCTCCAGCCCCACAACCTCAACTTTACTAAAGTTTATAGTCTCAAAGCTGAGCATGGTGGGGCATACCTTTAGTGCCAGCAGAGGTAGGCAGTGCTATGTGAGTTCAAGGCCAGCCTGGTCTACATAGCAAGTTCCAGGCCAGTTGAACCTACCGGGAAACCCTGTCTCAAAAAAAAAAAAAAAAAGGTTATATTTTCCAGTAAGAAAATGAAAGATGCCGGGCATGGTGGCGCATGCCTTTAATCCCAGCACTTGGGAGGCAGAGGCAGACGGATTTCTGTTGAGTTCGAGGCCAGACTGGTCTACATAGTGAGTTCCAGGCCAGCTGGGGCTACTGGAAGACTCTGTCTCAAAAAAAGACCAAAAAAGAAAATGAAAGATACCCTAAAAATTATTTCATTGTTATCAAGTAATCAAATCCCACATGAGATATGCACATTATGGCATGTTTTTAAAATACAGTTCCTCGTAAAGCTTACCTTCTTCATCGATACTAATGGGATAAGCTAAGGAAAGTTAATCTCTAAAAATCTCTAAAATTACTTGCTAATAAACAAATTTGATCATGTAGTTGTAGTTTGATGTTTTAGTTCTTTTGAAAAAAAAAAAAAAGGTTAAGTTCTGCTATTAAGACGGTCAGGAAATCCGTACATTACAGAAATAGTAACATCAAAGTGTGCCTCTGAAAGTTTGATGTGGAGCTAGAAAGATGACTTAGTGTAAAGAATGCATACTGCTCTTGCAGAGGACCAGTGTTAGCTTGCTGGCACACACATCGGGCAGTCTACAGCCCACCTGTTAACTCCAGCTCCAGGGGATGTGATGCCCTGGCCTCTGAGGGCACCTGTATTCACATGCACATACCCACACAGAGAGACATAACTAAAAAAAACAAAAATGAATTTTAAGCTTGACATATCCATACTAAATATTTTTAATATTTCCAGAAAATTTTATCAATTACTTTCTAGTACACAGCTGTTAAGATTTAGTCTTAATTAAAATAAGAAGCACAAGCTTCCCACTCATCTAATCAAAAGACAAAGTGAATAAAAGGGCAACAGGACTCCTAAGGAACTGCTTGAGGTACAGAAAAAGGCATCACTGCACAGAAAACCATTTCTCTCCACTGCTTAAGTCACCACGTAAAATCCAAGATTATCAGTTTTTCTCTTAAAAACAAGTCTGCCTTTTCCAAATATTTTAAGTATAAAGCTGACTAGCTCTCCTGTCAAATATAATCACAAATGTGGATTTTAATCTCAATGCTTAGTCTTAAACAATGTCTGTCTTAAGACATATCTTCAGGTGGTCCTAACAAATAATGTATTAACACAGATAAAAATCTTAAAGCAATCATGTAGCTCATCCGCTGTTCAACTGGTGTTCCACAGTTCCTTTTTTGGCCTCAAATGACGAAACTTCTCTAACGTCTCTGGGGAGAGTGTCAAGTATAACGTTTCCTGAAATTGTTCTTGCTTTTCCCTGCACCATTTCGTGACATCTCTTCAACTAGAAATGTTATATGCAATTTTATTGTTCTGCACGAGAGGCCAGAGGGACACGCAAATGTAAAAAGACTATTGTAAGGAAAAGTTGAAAGAGGATATACTCTGGAGAAAAAAGACGCATAAAGAACATACAGAAGAAAGAAAAACACTTTTAGCACAGAAAGAAGGGGGAAAAAAAAAAGAGGACCTGGTCATTCTAGAAACAAAAGCAAAAAAAGTCCTCTAAAAACGTGCATTGTCTCTTTTCTTGGGGGGATATTATTAAAACTCTAAGGCGTTCCTCAGACACTCCACCTTTTACCTTCTTTTCCTGCCTGCTTTAACATCGCTAGCATTATCTGTGAATTAAAGGCTGGCTATAGATAAAGCAATCTCTAGAAAACTACAAATGTGGTTGCCATCTTTGCCAGAAGGATTTGGAAAGAAAGGAGGAGTAAATGAAGTTGCAGAGCAAGAAAACCATCGTTGCCGAGTCAGGTTGATAGGACACAGGCTAACAAGCGCCTTCTACTAAACTAAGATTTAAAAGGAGTGGGGAAGGAGGGCAAAAGAGCCGCGGCCTTAACCGAGACAGCAAGGGTGGGGCATCGCAAGGAAAAAGAAAATTAAGAGGGCGAGTGCTCCCCGAGGGCTCCTCAGGGCTGGGAGGCACGCCGGCCAGCTCGCACCCTGGGCCGCACAAGACGCTGGGGACGCGGACGAAGGGCGGCTGAGGGTAGGAGACGTGGGCTGCCGGAGAATGCCCGCGAATGCCGCTGACAGAAGGAGATACCCACCGGCTCGGGATGGAGATCCGAGCGGAGCTAGGAGCGGCCGCGCGCGTGGGAGGCCGGGCAGAGGCCGCGGACGGACAGCCGGCCCGGCGCTCCGCGGCTGCCCGACGCTCAGCTCCTCTCCGGCCAGCAGCCGCGGGCGACAACGGCGGGCACAGCTGTTTCCGCCCGGCCGCGGAGTACCGAGGGCCGGACATCTCGGCGGCTGCCAGGGAGCCGGGCAGCCGCCGACCGCGCGCGGGGAGCGCATGCCGAACTTCGCCCTTTCTTCCCCTCGGCCGCCTTTATCCCCAACTTCGCGGCCGGCAACTGTCCGCGGCTAGCGGCCGACAGCCCCCTCCCCGCGCCACCCAGCGCCGTCCCGGGGAAGGCCGCCCGCAGCCCGGTCCCGCGACCCCGCACGCTGGCCCCGCGCCTACACTCGCCGGGTGTCGGCCCCCTAGCTCGCCCGCCCGGCTGCAGCAGCTCCGCTCACCTGCATTGACGCCATGATGAAACCATCCCCCCAAGGCCAGCGAGGCCGGAGACGCAGGGGGTGGAGCCGCCGTGCTCGCGTCAGGCCGCGGGGGCCCAACATCCCGGGCGCGGGGGCGGGGCCGCCTATGGGAAGGGGACGGCGCTCCGGGATTGGCTGGCGCGCGCGGCACCGGGGAGGGCGGAGCGGGGCGCGGTACCCTGAGCCCTGGGTACCACGCATCCCCGCCGGACGGCATGCCGGTGGGCCCACGCTCTCCACCGGTCCTGCGAGGCGCCACTTCACGTTCGGATGGACCACGGTTGCTGATTTGAGCATCTGTACCGCGAAATTTCGATGCTGTCTGGATCCGCGGAGACTTTTTTGTCTCATTTTGTTTTGCCAACTACAGGTGTAGGCGTTACATGGGTTTCCTTTTCCCTCCCTTTCGTGTGTCTTTTCCACACCAAGTCCGTTTTCACGCATTCGGAGCCAGATAAAACTTCACCTGGGAATTCTCTCTGATCTTTATAGGCTTGGGAACCTTATATCCCTCATGTGTGGGGAGACACAGGTTTCCCCATACGACTAAATGAGTATTGAGAGCAGAGTAGCACCCCGGCATCTTAAAAGCGAGAGCATTTGAATGTGTACACTTGAAACTTGCGGGAAAGGGGAGGAGAGCCAACAGCAAGAAGTTTTTCTTTTGTTTGTGTGCAGTTTTCCAACTCCCTTACCCAGCCAGTTGTAAACCCAGTTGTAAACTTCACGTTTGTCAATAGTAGTCGTTACATCAGTCTAATTTGGTTAGCGATTTGACTCTAGCCATGAATTCTCAATATATTCAAGGTTCAATAAACACGAACCTAACATACCTAGATTTCTCTTCAGCCTATTCGGTGGTGGACAGTTTCATGGTCAGCTGACCTACGGATGATTTGGGTAGGAAATGCTGCGCATACAGAATTTATTCTAGGAATGCACCGGTTCTGCCGACATTTATCATAAGCCACGGGGTTTTTTTTTGAGGCTTTTGTTGTTGTTGTTGTTGTTGCTGTTTTTGTTTTTTTTTTTCCTGAAGCTTTTCCGGAACTGAAGATGTCATTCGGTTTATAAGAGGAAATTAGAAGCCAAACCCTTGCACCTCGTGTTTTGTCTCTTAAAAGAATAAAGGCGGCTGACACGTTGAGTTTAGCAGACTTTTGCTTTACCACAATGAAAGTTTAAATCTTTAATTTTATTGATTCGCTTTTTAAGACATTTCTCTAAGATATAAATATGGCAATGTAGGATCTCGTTCTTCACACTTAAGATAGATCACGATGTTCTCCCGGAACATCTCGAAAGAAAATGAGTTCAAGAAAGAAAAAAGATCTTTACAACATGCCAGTTATTCTATGATATAATATTAAACACAGCTTATCTTCATCACAGAGGAGCTTATTTTGGTATTCTCTCCCTTGTCCTGGACTTCCACTCTATTACCAGAAGTGAACTGGTTTTCCCTTTTTTATGCAAAATGACTGTGATCTTGAAGTTTGGATGACTTGGAAACAAGAATCAACCAGCACTCGCAGGCGGATCTCTGTGAGTTCAAGGCCAGCCTGGTCTATATAGTGAGTTCCAGGACAGCTGGGGCTACAGGGAGACCCTATCTCAAAAAGACAAAAAAAAAAAAAACACCTAGCTGCAAGCCCAGAGTGCCTGGCAGATGCCTTTAATCCCAGCACTTGGGAGGCAGGGGCAGGTCTGTGAATTCAAGGCCAGCCTGATTTGTACATAGTAAATTCCAGGTCAGCTGGGGCTACAGGGAAACCCTGTCTCAAAAAGATTTAAAAAAATATATATATATATATATAATATATATAGCAATAAAATGTACTAAATGCAATATATTAATGCCATTTGGATTGTGATTCAAACAAATCATTAAAAAGATATTTTTGGGATCACTAGAGCAATGTAAACATAAATATCAAGGAATTGTTATTTATATAAGGTTTAACAATATTCATTTTTTAATTTCTTCAGCAATTAGAAATGACTGTCAGGTTGCAAGAAGAGGCAATTGTCCCTCATCTCACAAACCTCTCTCTCCTGGAAGAAGAAAAGTCAGGAGATACACAAGTTGTATAAGTACCTGACATCTTCCCTTCTCAAAGAAAGGGAAAACAGATAAAAATAAGCTAGCAGCTGGATAATCTACATACCAACACACACCCATTGTAAGTATACAGTTCAGTACTTTTTACTAAGTTTCTCTACTTGGGTAACCATCAGACAATCTCGTTTTAGAATATTTGTATCACCTCAAAAAGAAAACATCAAGGGCTGGGGAGATGGTTCTGTGGTTAAAGCAGTTGCCATGCAAGCCTGAAGGCTGGAGCTCAGATCCCTAGAACCCACATAAATGCCAAATGTAATTCTTGTTTCAGAAGGTGGAGACAGGAGAGCCACAGAGCAAGGGGGCTAGCTAGACTAGCCATATTAGAGAACTCTGGGTTGGAATGAGAGACTGTGCTTCAACAAATAAGGTGGACGAATGATCAAAGATGATTCATGACATCAACCTCAGGCCTCTACATTTGCATATGTACCCCTAACATATGCCCAAACATGCACAAGCATGTATATATAAACAGGTACATTTCGTACACATATGAAAATGAGAAAAAAACAGAAAAAAAAACAAAATTTTTCTAGATTAGTAAATAGCCATTGACATGAGCTGGCCGTGGTGGTCTATACCTGTAATCTCAGCACTTGAGAGGCGGAGGCAAGAGAATCAGGAGTTAGAGGCCAGACTAGTGTACACATCTAGACTCTGTCTGAATAAATGTAAAAAGAACAGTTAACCAAAAGCGGATACTGTTTCAATCTTTACCATCCCATGATTTATCTTAAGTAGACAATTTCATACACCAACTTATTGATCAAGTGAGACTACAAGGTTTGTGCCTCCTGAAGAGAACAATAGAAAGTAGATGGAATGTGTTCTTGCCAACAAAAATCTCCTCAAGATTTTGTACCATGATCAGTATTTATTGGAAATCCAGGGTGAGACAGTTGCAAAAAAGAGGAACATATTTAGCCACACCATGAGGCTGCAAACAGCCAAGTCAGATTATAGGAAACTCATCAAGACAAATGACTCAGTGTATTCCATAAATGTCATGAAAGAGAGGAGGATGGAAAACATCGTAGATTAAAAGATGCTTGAGAGATACATTAGACAAATGCAATATGTTAACCTTGTTTGGCTCCTGATTGAACCAAAACAACTATAAAAGCATTTTTGAAACAATAGAAGAAATCTCAACACAGAGTAGGTACTGCTCTTAAAAACGGATTTAAGCCAGGCGTGGTGGTACACTGTAGTCCCAGCACTTAGGAGGCATAGGCAGGTGGATCTCTGTGAGTTCAAGGCCAGCATAGTGAGTTCCAGGACAGCTGGGGCTACAGGGAGACGTTGTCTCAAAAAAGACCAAAAGAGAAAAAAAAACAGATTTAAAAGGGGCTGGAGAGATGGCTCAGTGGTTAAGAACACTGACTGCTCTTGCAGAGGACCCGGGTCCAATTCCCAGCACCCACATGGCGGTTACAAACCGTTTTTAATTCCAATTCCAGGGGAATCTGAAACCCTCTTCTGACCTCCATGGCATCGCATGACACGGGTGTACCACTCATACAAATAAAATAAAAATAATAAAATATGTTTTAAAAAGATATTTAAGGGCTGGAGAGATGACTTAGCAGATGACTCACTGGATGCTCTTGCAGAGGACCCGGGTTTAGTTCCCAGCACCCACGTGGCGGCTAACAACCATTAATAACTCAGTTCTGGGGATCCAGTGCCCTCTTCTGACATCCGAGGACATTGTACAACATGGGTGCACTTACATACATACAGACAATACACTCATACAACTAAACTAAAATATTAAAAAATAGCCTGGCATGGTAGCACATGCCTTTAATCCCAGCACTCAGGAGGCAGAGGCAAGGTGGATCTCTGTGACTTTGAGGCCAGCTAGGACTACAGGGAAACCTGTCTCAAAAAGATCAAAACAAATATTAAAAAATCTATTTTAAAAACATTTAAAAACATACAGTTGGGTGTGCTTGTGCACACCATTAACCCCAGCACCTGGGTGGCAGAAGCAGGCAGATCTCTGTGAGTTCAAGGCCAGCCTAGTCTGCATAGTGAGTTCTGGGCCAGTTGGGGCTACAGGGAGACCCTGTCTCAGAAAGACAAAAAAAAAAAAAAAAAAAAAAAAAAAAAAGAAAAGACATTATAGAGAGGAAATGATAGACATGGGTGTCATAGATATGCCATTAAACATATAAGCATAATTTATAGTTTCTGAAGAAAAATAGAGTGACTAGAACAAAGAAATACTCAAAAATGTGTGGCAAAATGAGAAATATGCTTCTTCATGACCTGTGGTAGGGTTATGTCCCAATAATCCCACTGTTAAGTTGGATGTGGCTACTTTTCTTGTTGTTGTGACCAAATACCTCAAATCAACTTAAGGGAGGAGAGGTTCATTTTGGCTTACAGTCTGAGTCCATCAAGGCAGGGAAGACATGGTATCTCTGCAGTGGTGGAAGGTAAGGCAGCTGGTTAGATGATCAGCAGTCAGGAAGCTAGGGGAAGTGAGGACTGGAAGTAGGCTGGGATATAACCCTCAAGGCCAGGCTCCCAGTAACTCACCTCCTCCAGCTGGGTCCCACCTCCTAAAGGTTCCACAGCCTCAAAACAATGTCACCAATTGGTGACCAAATGTTTAAGTACATGAGCCTGTGGGGCACATTTTACATCCAAACCATGCTAATATCATAAATCAACCGCACCTAATGCATCTAACGTACTGAACACAGTGCTTTAGCAGTCATGAACACTGGCAGGCATATCCAACACACAGCTCCCATGCCATGTGAGTCCCAGAACAGAGATGAACTCAGCCCCACAAATTTGTAGTGGCAATGTCATATTGCAATGTCGAAAGGTTGGACACTCTTGGTAGAATATGTGTTGTTTCCTGATTGGGACAGGTGGCTCACTGCAGAAGCCTATATCATCACAGGAGCATACATAACTCTAGCCCAGGAAAAACTCAAAACAAAACTGGAAATACAAAATACAGTTTGTATTGACTCTGGATCACCTTGGAGACAGGGTCTCCTGTAGCCCCAGCTGGTCTGGAACACACTATGTAGACCAGGCCAGCTTTGAACTCACAGAGATCCCCCTGCCTCTTCCTCCCAAGTGCTGGGATTAAAGGTGTGCACCACCACGCCTGGCTTGGGTCACTTTTGGGGGGAGCCACTTTAAAAAAAATAATATGGAATGCTTTGGGAATTTGCCTGTCATCCTTGCGCAGGGGCCATGCTAAATTTCTCTGTATCATTCCAATTTTAGTATATGTGCTGCCAAAGCAAGCACCTGGCTCACTTTTGTACTATCATAAAGCTTGGAAATTACATCAAGCCATCATCATTCAGAGACCATGTACATAGAGTTGGTCTTTGTGCTTGCATCCTGACGTAGAGCTCCTAAAATTCCTATGTAATGTCCAGAGAGGTAGAAGAGATATCACTCTTGGCAGGCATCCTAGTTTACTTTCTATTGCTGTGGCAAAAGCACTGACCAAAACCAACTTGGAAAGGAAAGGGTTTATTGCATCTTACTCTTCCAAGTAATAGTCCATCACTGAGGGAAGCTAAGACAGGAACTTAATCAGGGCAGAAACATGGAGGCATGAACTGAAGCACAGATCATGGAGGAATGCTGCTTACTGGCTTGCTTCCCTGGCCTGTGCTCAGCATGCTTTCTTATACAGCTCAGGACCAGGATTTTCTTTGTTAGAAGACTTTTTATTATACTTTTTATGAATCTCCTTAAATTGCTTGTATCTTCTCATTCTAACTTGGGTGAGCTTGGGTGAGTCATATTTGTCTAGGAGTTTATTCTCTCTTTTAGTTTTAGTTTTTCCAAAGTTTTATTGTAGAAATTTTCAAAGTATCCCCTAATGAGTATCTGAATTTTATTTTACCTGTTGTAGTATTCACTTTTTAATCTCAAATTTTATTAATTTGCTTCTTCTCTTTTTAAAAAATTTAATGTATTTTTATTTTATGTGTCTGTGTGTTGCCTGCATATCTGTAAGTGACCTGTTCATGCAGTGCCTGTGGATGCCAGAAGAGGGCATCAGATTCCCTGAAAACTGGAATTGCAGATGGTTGTGAGCCTCCTGATGTGGGTGCTGAGAAGTGAACTCAGGTTCTTGCTTTTCAAGAACAGTATGCAGTCTTTCAAAAAAAAATTTTTTTAAAACAGGTTCTCAGGGCCAGAGAGATGGCTCAGCAGTCAAGAACACTGATTGTTCTTACAGAAGACCCAGGTTCGAATCCCAGCACCCACATGGCAGCTAACAACTGTTCATAACTCCAGACCCAGGCGATCTGATAGCCTCTTCTGACCTCCGTGGGCATTGCACGACACAGGTGCACTTACCTACATGCAGGCAATACACAAGTACACATAAAATAAAAAAAAAATAAAATAAAAAAAAAAGAGGCTCTCCCTGTATCCCCAGCTGGCCTGGAACTCTATGTAGACCAGGCTGCCCTTGATCTCACAGAGCTCCATCTGCTTCTGCCAAGTGTTGGGATTAAAGGCACGCATCACCATACCTGGCTCCTTCCACCTTTACGTGGGTTTCAGGGACATCAGCCTTATGCAACAACCATTGAGCCATCATGCTGGCTCTTATTTTATTTTTGAGACAGGTCTCACTCCATACCTTAAGCTGGCCCTGAACTATGTAGCCAAGAATGGGCTCAATCTCAGTTGTCCCGGCAGTCTTGGAGTGCTGAAATTACAGGAGTGAATCACCATCTTTGGCTAAGTTTTTGAAATTAAATTCCCTTATTTAGGATTTTTTGAGATGGTCTCATGTAGCCCAGGTTAATCTTGGAGTGCTGGGATTGTAGGTGTGCACTGTACTAATTTGCTTATTTAGTTTATTTACTTGTGGTGGTGAAGATTGGCCCAGGACCTCATGGCTCATCAAGTGCTGTCATTCACAACTCCAGCACATTTGCTTTGGAATTGAATCACCCTGTCTTTGACTAGTTATTTTGATGTTTAAAATTCAGTAGCAACTTTTGAGTTTAATGCCTAGGAGTGGAATTGCTAACAATATGGTAATAAGTTAAAAAACTTATTATGTATGATGTGTGAGGATGCGTGTGTGCCATGGCACACTTGTGGAGGCCCTTATTTAAGTTTCTGAAGGGCTTCCAACTTTCCCAGCTGTTTTATTTTAAATTTCTGCCAGCTTTACTTTTTCACTTTTGTTTTTTTGTGAAAGATCTCTGGGGCTGGAGAGATGGCTCAGTGGTTAACTGTGTTTACTGCTCTTGCAGAGAACCCAAGTTCAGGGGATTCTATGCCCTCTTGCAGACTCCCAAGCATCTTCACTCATATGCATATTCTCCCACATACACATACACATACACACTCTCCTACACATGCACCCCACACACATACCCCCACATACATACACCACCCCAGACACACACACACATCCCCACAAATACACCCCTCAACACACTCTACTCTCCCACACATACAGCCCCCATACCCCAATACCAACCAATACATATACACACTCCCACACATTCACATCTCCCACACCCATACATACACCCCCCCACACACATACATATACACATCCTCCTTCACATACACTCCCTCCCCTCATTCAGTATACCCCTCCCAACCTATACACCACATACACAGATAATTTTTTTTTGAGACAAGGTTTCATTATATATATATATATCCCTGGCTGGCCTTGAACTTAAGAGAGCCTCCTGCCTCTGCCTCCCAAGTGCTGGGATTAAAGTCATTGACCAAAGTACCCAGTCACATGTACACACACATAATTTTAAAAAATAGTAATAAAAATGAGAGAGGAATCACTGTATCTGGCTTGGAACTTGTCCTAAAGCTCAAGTGTGACCTGCAATACACAGCAACTCTCTCCTGTGATTATAGGCATGAAACATCACACCAGCCCAATATCAATTTTTAAGGATTCCAATTTATGGGCTGTAGAGATGGCTCAGCGGTTAAGAACACTGGTTGTTCTTGCAGAAGAGCTGGGTTCATATCCCGGCACCCACATGGCAGCTAACAACTGTCCATAAGTCCAGTTCCAGGGGATCCGACAGCCTCTTCTGCCCTCTGCAGGCATTGCACAACACGGGTGCAATTCCAGGCCAGCCAGTGTTACATAGTGAGACCTTGTCTCTAAATAAATAAAAATTTGAATTCTAGTGTTTCATTACCCTTGAGCCTTTTGACATATCCACTGCATAGACATGTAAGTTTAGAGACCCAACTCTTTAGAAATAGATCTTCTCTGGGGAGTACCTTTAGCATTAAAAGTGGTACTTCTCTGGGCAATAAGAGACATCATTCAGAGGCTGGGCATGGTGGCACACGCCTTTAATCCCAGCACTTGGGAGGCAGAGGCAGGTGGATCTCTGAGTTCAAGGCCAGCCTGGTCTACATAGTGAGTTTCAGGACAGCTGGGGCTACAGGGAGACCCTGTCTCAAAAAGACCAAAAAAAAAAAAAAAAAAAAAAAAAAAAAGAAAAAAAAAAAGAAAAACATCATTCATTGTGATGCTGAAGAAAACAAAACACATAGCCCAATATGCTTTAGATACAATGCTTAAACCCTATAAACAGTGGGTAAAATAACTAACAAGCATGTATCAGGGCTCAAGCTATTGAAAGGTAAAGAATTGATTCCAAGGTTGTCTCCTGACCTCCACACGTGCACTGTGGTATGCATGCCCCCCCATCATGCATACACAGTAACAAATTTTTAAAATTAAGACTTGTGGGTGTGGTTTAGTGGTGGAGTGCCTGCCTAGCATGCACAAGGCACTGGGCTTAAGGGGTACAATATGGAAATCAAACTACAGAAGGCAGAGAAGTAAACTGATTATTTGACAAGACATTAAAAATTGGGTCTCCCAGAGGCTAGAGATGGCTTGGTAATTAACAGAACTTGCTGCAATCATGAAGCCCAGAGTTTGGATCCCAGCACCCACATAACAAGCCTATCACTTCAGCTCTGAGGGATTCAACACCCTCTTCTTGCCTTTTTGCATGCACATCTGTGAACACTCACAGATACATATACTCATCAATTTGAGTTTGAGGCCAGCCTGGTTTACATAGTGAGTTCCAGGCCAGCCTGGGCTACATAGAAAGATCCTACCAAAAAAAAAAAATTACAAATTTCTCTATGTATCATCAGTTAGATGGATATCCAGGGCTAAAACTGGACCTTCTCTATATAAAGTAGGAAACAAAACACAGATTCTAAATTAGGGCCGGGGATGGCATTGTAGCTCAGTGGTATAGCATTAGCTTAGCATGCATGAAGCCTTGGGTTCAATCCCCAACACTGAAAAACAACAAAAAATGCCTAATTGGGGATGGATGAGTAAATTAAAAAAAAAACCCAAGTAACAAAAAACCATTTTCTGTCTAGATCATAATTCCAGCTACCTGTTATGTTACGATATTACAATCTTACCATAACAACTGTATACACACATTTTGCTCATTAGAAAAACAAGATGGCCAGGTGTGGTGGCGCACGCCTTCCAGCACTCGGGAGGCAGAGGCAGGTGGATCTCTGTGAGTTCAAGGCCAGCCTGGTCTACACAGTGAGTTCCAGGCCAGTTGGGGCTAAAAGGAGACCCTGTCTCAAAAAGACAAAAAAACAAAAAACCCAAGATGATAGGGCTGGGCACAGTGGTGGTTCCCTGCCATCTCTAAAGCATGTCTGAGGACTTCAAGGATATCCTGAGGAATAGTCTTATTTCCTGTAAGAAAAATGACTCCCAGCACCCATGTGGCAGGTAACAACTGCCCCTAACTTCAGTTCCAGGGGATGTGACCTCTTCTGGCTTCAGCAGGGCACTGCAGGTCACAGGTACATTTATATACAGGCAGGCCTAACACTCATACACATAAATTTTGGTCTTTCTGAGACAGGGTCTCCCTGTAGCCCCAGCTCACTTAGAATTCACTATGTACACCAGGCTGGCCTCAAATAGAGATCCACCTGCCTCTGCTGGGATTAAAGGTGTGCACAACCATACCCCGAAACACATAAATTTAAAAAAAAAATAATTTTTATTGTATGCATATAAGTGGATTGCCTGCATGTATGAGTGCACCCTTGTGCAGTGCTGCAACGGTCAGTATTGAATTCCCCTGGAATTGGAGTTAAGGATGGCGTCCTAGTTTGTCTCTTCATTGCTGTGACAAAACACTCTGACCACTACCAACTTGGGGAGGAAAGGGTTTATTCAGCTTACATCTCCCAGGTCACAGTTCATCAGGGAACCCAAGGTAGGAACTCAGGGCAGGAACCTGGAGGCAGGAGCTGGAGCACAGGCCATGGAGGATCGCTGCTTACTGGGTTGCTCCCTTGGCCCCTGCTCAGCCTGCTTTCTTAGGCAACACAGGCCCACCTGCCCAGGGGTGGCACCACCCACGGTGGGCTGGGCCCTCCAACATCACTCAACAATCAAGTTGTCCCATGGACACGGCCACAGGCCAGTCCAATGAAGGAAATTCCCCAATTGAGGATCCCTCAACCCAGGTGTGTCAAGTTGATACTAAAGCTATCCAGCACAGATGGGTCTTAGCCATCATGTGTGTGATGGGAATCAAACTTGAATCCTTTGCAAGAACAATCAGTGCTCTTAACCAATGAGCCATCTCTCCATCCCCAACACATAAAACTTTTATAAGTTAAAAATCTTTTAGCTGGGCATGGCAGTGCACACCTTTAATCCCAGCACTCAGGAGGCAGACAGGCAGATCTCTGAGTTCCAGGCCAGCTGGTGCTGTAGGGAGACCTTGTCTCAAAGAGACCAAAAAAGTTAAAACAAACGTATGTACATAAAAAACAAACCTTTTATGTATGTGTGCCTGTACCTGTCTGTATGTGCATCATGGGTGTGCAGGTGTCTTCAGGGGCCAATTATGAGTGTTCAGACCTGAATTATAGTTGTAAGCCAATGAATGTGGATGCTGGGAAACAAACTCTGATCCAAGAGCAGCAAGCACTCTTAGCCAGAGCCATCTCTCTCCAGCCTCAGAGAGCTCACTTTAGTACTGCTAAATGAAGATATATTCAAGATTTGTTAACTTGTATGAAATTTCACTTAAGTACAAATTACTTGAGTATCAGTCCTTAACAGCAGCTTAATCTTATTCTGCAGAATGTCCACTCCTTTCAAGTAATAATCCATCACCAGAATGATAGATCCATACATAACAGGGTATCTTCTTGTACTTCAATGTGAACTGAATTACTGCATAGTGCATTCCACTATCAACAAGAATCTAGAAAAGCAACTATCGATAAGAAAAACAAGAAAAATAGTCCATTTAAAAACCAAAACTGGTCAGGCATGGTAGGGCTCACCTTTAATACCAGCACTGAGGAGGTAAAGGCAGGCAGGTCTCTGTGAGACTGAGGCCAGCTTCGTCTATCTACCTAGCAAGTTCCAGGTTGCTGGGACAAAAGGGAAACCCTGTCTCAAATCAAAATCGAAAACAAAAAACACAAAATACAAACAAAACAAAAACTCCCCATCAGTGCAAAACCCAATTCATACAAATTTGCAAAAATGCTAGGTATTATAAATGTGCTTGTTCACTAACCTACACCCACAGCTCCAAAATACAATACTGATTAAAACACGACGCTATGGCAGTATTTTCTATGTAAAAAACAATACTGGAAAGGCTTACAAATAAGTTTGAGAAGTACAATTACTAGGTAAGAAAACTATTGTTTTAATGCTATGTAAGTAAACTAAATTTGAACCAGGCAATTCCATCATATGGTAAGATGTCCTGAAGCAATTTCAATGAAGAAACAAGGCTAAAAGAGTAAACAGCAAGTGTTCATCATGACTTTTCAGTCAATACAGCCTTTATTAACACAAAAGTAGCATTTGCTGCACGTTTACAAATTTGCCTAGTGTGTTGTAATTTTACCTTATGTCCTAAACTTAAGGTTCTTGTGGACCTAATACATAGAGTAACGTACAAAAAAAACTGGTCCAAGTTACTTTTTTTGGCTACTGCCTTTTGAAATCCATCATTTAGATATGGAATTGGAGCAATTAGCTAAAGATTGATGGGAGGGCCTCCCATGTTAAGTACTACCTTTGAGCTCTTGCCCTCTGCCCTAGAATAGTTCCTATACTTATATATTTATCTGTACTCAAGTATGTGCCAATAAGCCTTAAGTCACTAAAATATACACTCTACACAACCATTTAATATTTGGGAAAGCACAAGTTTAGAATTTAAGAGGAAAAGTTAGTTTTATGATTTCTGCAGTTTCCAGAAAAAACTGGTATTAAAGCAGTGAGTGTTGTTCTACTACTCTATCCAGCTCCAGCCCTTCTCTTGTGCCAAGCAGAGATGCTCATAAACTTTTTCAGATTTGTCGGTTGGTCTTTCTTAGGAATCTGAATGCAGTAGCCTTTAACTGAACATGTGCTCTGGTAGCACACCTGAGTGTGTCACACCATTTCCACTGCATCGCTCCCTTTCTCTTATTTTACCGCATTCTCATTAGATGGAGGAAGACTGGGACAATTCAGAAAGGTCCAGTTTTTAAGATCTAGATAAAACCAATTGTGTTTTTACGACACATTAACAAGTGGAAGTGGAATCTCAAGAGACTATGAGGACTGAAAATTGCAAAGGAAACTTTCTAGTCAATGGAAGTAGTACTCTGGACTGTGGTGTACAAGAACTCCTAAGGCATTTACTGACCATCTGCCTATAGTTTGAACAGCTACTATTTCAAAGGTTGTACCTGGTAATCTTCCAAAATTGCTTTTAAATATGGTTCTTAAATTGTAGCAATAAACAAAACACAAGATGCACTTAAACAATACTGCAGTTTATCAAAAAACACATAAGAAATTTCAACTCTTATTTTTTGAGTTATAAAAATCAATGTTTTGGCTAAGTTATAAACATGTTTTTCACATAAT